AAAAAAAAAAAAAAAAAAATTCAACATGAGATTTGGAAGGGATACACATCCAAACCGCATCAACTCCCCCACCAGACCTCTCTCTGTGACTTCGTGCATCTACCTCCAACCATCTTGTTGCATCTCTGTGCATTTGGGTTTCTTGGTTTCTGCAAAGTGACAGGACCAGCCTTCTGTCTTGCTTCAAGTCCAGCCATCACCCTTCTATGGCTGGAGGAAGAGAGAGAAGAAACTTAAGAGGGAAACGCTGCAGAGAGAATTGCGAAGGAGAAGCTGATGTAGCAATGGCTCATGCTTTCTCTCTCCTACTTTCTCTCTTTTAAAACTTTTTATATGCCAGAATTGGTTCCAAGCATTTTACATGTGTTAGCCCAGTTTATCCCAAGAGTGATCCCACAGGAGGGCAAGTAAGTGATGGCTAAGAACACAGACTTGAGTGAGGCCCTGTGGCTCACACCTGTAATCCCAGAACTTTTGGGAGGCCGAGGTGGTATGATTGTCTGAAGTCAGGCATTCGAAACCAGCCTGGGCAACACAGCAAGACACCTGCCTCTATTTTTAAAATGTTAAAAATTAGCTGAGCATGGCAGTGCCCAAATACCGCATGTTCTCACTTGTAAGTGGGAGCTAAATATTGAGTGCACGTGGACATAAATATGGGAACAGTTGACACTGGGGACTCCAAAAGCAGAGAGGGAGGCGGGGCAAGGGTCGAAAAAATACCTGCAGCTACTTAGGAGGCTAAGGCAAGAGGATTACTTGAGCCCAGAAGTCTGAGGCAGCAGTGAGCCGTGATCGCACCACTGCATACCAGCCTGAGCAACAGAGCAAGACCCTGTCTCAAAAAAAAACAAAAACAACACGGGCTTCCTCAGCCTCCTGAGTAGTTGGGATTAAAGGCACCCACCACCATGCCTGGCTAATTTTTGTATTTTTAGTAGAAACATGGTTTCGCCATGTTGGCCAGGCTGGTCTTGAACTCCTGACCTCAGGTGATCACTGACCTCGGCCTCCCAAAGTGCTGGGAATACAGGCGTGCGTCCCTGCACCTGGCCCTCCCTGTTTTCTAATCCCAGCTTCATACCCATTGGTTGCATGATCTTGAGCAAGTTGCTAGGATGTCTGCCTCAGTTGCCCTCATTGGTAGACAGGGAATGATGAAAGATGTTTGCACATGGTAGGTGGACACTCAGTTTTTTTTACAGCTGAGAGAGCAGAGATTCAGAGAGAAGCTACTCCCAAAGCTCACACAGGTAGTCAATGGCTCACCGAGAGTGGACCTGGGCAGCCTATTGGTCTGGCTGCTCTGTCCCGCCTCTCCGTTGCAGAGATGGGATGGAGAGTGGGAAGGTGCTGAGATTTCAGTTCCAGGAGGGATGTGGGTCCAAAGCCCTGTTAAATGCCCCCTCCCATGGCCACAGATGACCAGACCTACAGGGGCAGGAGGCAGGTCTGAAAGTGAAGGTGTATGAATTCAGCTCAGTTTTGGAAACTGAGGATTGTTCATTACTGGGTATGTACTCAAAGGAAAAATAAATTATTCTGCCCCCAAGACACCTGCACTTGTATGTTTATTGCAGCGCTATTCACAATAACAAAGACATGGAATCAACCTAGGTACCCATCAGTGGTGGATTAGATAAAGAAAACGTGCAACATGTACACCATGGAATACCATGCAGCCATGAAAAAGAATGAAGTCAGCCAGGTGCGGTGGCTCAGGCCTGGAATCCCAGCACTTTGGGAAGCCAAGACAGGGGGATCATGAGGTCAAGAGATCAAGACCACCCTGGCCTATATAGTGAAACCCCATCTCTACTAAAAATAAAAAAATTAGCGAGGCATGGTGGTGCGCACCTGTAGTCCCAGCTACTCGGAGGCTGAGGCAGGAGAATCGCTTGAAT